TTGAACCACCAGCCTTCTGGTGAGCAGTCAAGTGCCTTAGGCACTATGCTACCAGAGCTCCTGGAATACAGTGTGGTCTTCGTAAATGTGGCATATTATGAAACTATATCACTTAGAAGTGACTTTACCTGCAAAGTAACAGAAGAGTAGCTGCAGAATGACTTTAGCTCCTGACTAACCTAAGCCAAAACAAAGAGGGTTTATTTGAATTATCGGCTAATTAGAAAGCTAGAGATGAAAGTGCAGGGATCAGCCTCTCTGTGATTTTCTTGTCTTTTCCTTCATGATCACAAAATAGCACAGGCAGCTCCAGGCTTGTCATCCTCGCATGTGGCCCAGCAAGAGGAACGGAGGTGGAAAATCTTCTCAACAAAATCCCCCATACTCCACGGGGCACTGGCTACAGGAAGAACTGGGAAAGCAGCGTCCTGGGAAGGGGACAAGGTGCTCATAACTGACTCTGACTAGAGGTTCTTAACCCTGGCTGCTCAGCAGGATCACTTGAGAGGGATGAAAAATGTGCATGGATATAGGTATTTGTATGGGCTATAAAAAAACCCATATACCTGATAGAGCTAACAGGACAAAGTTAGGATAACTTCTTAGCCACAACCAATCACCTTGAGGGAGTGAGTCACTGGGCCTGTGGGTTTGCAATCATGGTCACAGGGGACATCAAGCTCAATTGGCACAACCTCATACACAAAAACTTTGTTCTACATCCTACTTTGGTGAGTAGCAACTGGGGTCTTAAAACCTTGCAAGTGGCCATCTAGATGCAACAATGGGTCTCTCTTCATCTGGAGCAAAGAAGAGTGAAGAAGATCAAAGACGTATGTAAACAATTAGTCCCAGGGAGTAATGGACCAGGGACCTCAGCCTGCACGATGCTGAGACCAGAAGAACGAGATGGTGCCTGGCTACCCATGTCAGCCACTGAGACAAGGATCGAAATTGGAGATCCTGAGTAGAGCAGGGGGGAAAATGTGGAACAAAATTCAAAAACATAAAAAAAGACCAGGATTACTGGCCAGATAGAGACTAGCGAACCCCCAAGACTCTGGCCCCGAGTCACCCTTGAGGCCTGGAATTGGACTTGCTCCTGTGGCTCAGCTGTCAGCCAAACAGTAGACTGGCCGATAAGCTGAACACCTAGACCAGGGAGAACAGTCGACCACGGGAGACCAGAAGGCAGCATGTGCCCACTTGCACGAGCTGGGCAGGCAGGAATGCATAGGGAGGGGGATACAGGGAAGGGGCAAGCACAGGGAGGCGATGAGAGGAGAGCTGTTACGCTGTGGGGATCGTAATCTGTCATGGAACAAAATGTGTATGACCTACTGAATGGAAGATGAATCTGCTTTATAAAATTGCACCCAAATCACAATAAAAGATTTTTTTGTTTTTAAAAATGTGTGTGTGTGTGTGTGTGTATTCATGTCTGGGCCTCTCCCCAGATGTACTGAATTAGAATCACTAGTGTGATTTTATCTTGAAAGCAAGTTGAAAACTAGTGCCATAGTTCAAGATTCAGGATGACCAATGTCCAGGGCGGGAGCTCTGGTGGCGTAGTGGCTAAGGCACTTGACTGCTAACCAGAGGGCTGGCGGTCCAAACCCACCAGCCACTCCTCGAAAGGAAGATGGGGCAATCTACTTCCGTAGTGATACTGCCTCGGAAACCCAAGGAGGGGTCGCTATGAATCGGGTCTGACTCGATGGCACATAACAACAACAACAGTGTCCAGGGCAGGCCAGGGTTTTACGTAAGAGCTTATGATAATGTGTTTATGCTGTGCCGTGCCATAGTGTGATACAATATAAGATATGATATGATATATAATTGTAATAATAATAACGGGAACTCTCATCTGAGCTCTCCATTTTCTCATGGTACCTGTTTTATTCATCACACTTCTTACTACCTGACATAATCCATCCTTCCCTCCAGAATGTCAGCTCTGTGAGTGCAGGGATCTTTTATCTTATTCACTGTACCTAGAGCAGGCTGACACACAGAGGGAACAAAGGCCAGGTATGTGGTATCTGTTGCATCATTTAGTCCTTCCACCATCCCTTGAGGGATAGATGTTACCACTGTTTCCACTTCACAAAACAGGAAACTGAGGCTCAGAAGTATGAAGTCACTTGGTCAGACTGCCAGGAGGTGGCAGGTTCAAGTCCTGGCACAGACCCATGCTTTCTGAGCCTGGAGCCCAAGCTTCTAACCATCATGCCCATTGCTCTGAAAATGGGGCACCTTTCATGTGCTCTGACCCTTCCTGGGGCCCAGGAGCCCCCTAACCTTCCCTTCTCTCTTTTGAGCAGCTCATTACCCTGCGGGGCTCCATCCTGGAGGACGCCACACCCACAGCCATGAAGCATGGGACAGGGCGTGGCCTACCATTGAAGGACGCCCTAGAGTATGTCATCCCAGAGCTCAACATCCACTGCCTGCGACTGGCTCTCAGCACCCCCAAGGTGACGGAGCAGCTGCTGAAGCTCGACGAGCAAGGGGTGAGCCGGGCCTTGGGGTTGGGGGCCGCTGGGGCCGCAGCCTACAACCCCTTTCCTGTGCCTCTTTCTCTTGGTCCCATTCTTTCTTGCTTTTCAGTTTGGGTTTGTTTGTTTGTTGGCAAGAAATAGAAACCTCCTTAAGCTAGTTTGAGCCAATGGAAGGCTTACCCCATTCTAGAGGCACTGAGAGCAAGAATGAAACTGGGTATCAGGAGAGAAACAACCTGGGGATTCCCCCTTTTCTGTCCTTCATTTCTGCTTCCTTCTTCCCTCTCTACGAATTGGCTCCTTCTGCTTCTCTGACCCCGTGACAGACCATAGCCCCTCCCACAGCTCCTAGAGTTGCTGGGATCTGTCATAATGTGGAAGGAGCTCTGGTGGTGTAGTGGTTAAGGCATTTAGCTGCTAACCAAAAGGTCATTGGTTTAAACCAACCAGCCATTCCACAGAAGAAAGATAAGACAGTTTGCCTCTGTAAAGATTTACAGCCTTCAAAACCCAATGGGGGTCAGCACGAGTCAGAATCAACTCAGTGGCAGTGAGTTTGGTCTGGTTTGGCCATAGTGGATCCCAGCTAGCTGACTCTCCTTGGGGGAGTTTTTGATTGGCCTGTGCTTAAATCAGGTTTCTGCTGTGGTCCAGTTACCTATGACCATGGGAATCAGTGATATACAAAATAAGTGTGGCTACAGGGGTCTGCTTCCCCAAAAAATGTTGCCATGAGCCCTGAGCCTTTAGAATTTTCTTTTGCAGAATCTCATCCAGTCCCAGTCCAGCTGCTATGGCACCTGGCTGATGAAGGCCCAGCCATCCTCCATGCAGGGAACAGGGCAGGCACGCAGGTACCCTGTTTGACTCTCTGCAATGGGAAGGAAGGAAGGGAACAACCAGGACAGGCCCAGCATCTTTTTTTCTTCCTTTCTGGCTGTGGGACCCCAGCAGCTTCTGGGGCTCAGCACTCAGAAAGCCCCATCTGTTCAGTTCCCTGTTGCATCTCTGCCTACCTGTCTTCATAAAGCCACTTTTGCTTCAACAGCTCTGCCGGAAACACAAGGTGGGCATCCTCTACTGCAAGGCAGGCCAGAGCTCCGAGGAGGAGATGTACAACAACGAGGAGGCAGGCCCAGCCTTCGAGGAGTTCCTTGCCCTCATTGGTGAGAAAGTCTGCCTAAAGGGCTTCACCAAGTACGCTGCCCAGCTGGATGTCAAAAGTAAGTGGCAATGGCAGCCTCCTCGGACACCAGTTAGATCATAGTGAGCCACCACTGCACGCATGATGGGCAAAAGTTCAAAGGCCTGGGAAGACTGAGGTGAGGATCCAGGGCAGTGGTGCTTTCAGACACTGCTGGTGAGAAGGCAGACCACTGTGGAGAGCAGTAAGGCATGCTGTAGTCAAGTCTGCGGATGCACCTACGCTGTGACTCACCACTTGAGCTCCCTGACATACACTCTGAGGACTCCTAGCCCCCTGGAGCACACCCAGTGCTCACTGCCAGAACCGTAGCCTGTCACCGTGCAGAGTGCTGTAGAGCAGTGACAGTGACAGACCAGGGCTACATCCACAGCCCAGATGAGGGTCACACACTGAGCACAGAGCACACGTCTCAGGAGAGTCCACGCTGGCTGAGGCCACTTCTATAAGCATCTTTACAAAGCAAACCCAAACAGTAGATTGTTTGGGAATTTGTTTGTATATAAAACTAGGAAAATCAGGAGTAATAGACACAATGATTAATGGTTCCGTGTCAGAGAAGCAGGGGAGATGCACCTGGACAGTGATACTCACATTAGACAGTTGGTGGTGGTCTATTTCTTGAGGTCAGTAATCGGTACAGAGGTATCTGTTACAGGACTCCGTACACATATAGGATGCGTAGGATTGAGATGTTTCCTAATGAGTAGCATTTGTGAGGGGTGGGTAGGTGATGTGCCGAACCACTGTCATGGCCACCTGGGAGGGCCAACTGCCTATTCCCCTTGGAAGGCGGGCTGTCATTGGGTTGGTTGCTCAGGCTGGGAGTCAGGAAGCCCCAAGATGGAGCTCAAGCACGTGCCCTTCACTTTTGTCTTCAAGCCTCAGTTTCCCCATCTGGAAAATGGAGGCTCAAATGAGGAGACTAAGCTTAGAGAGATGAGGAAAGTGTTAAGCAGGGTGCCTGCGGCCGTTGTTGTCATCCCCTTCACCTCCTTCAGTGGAGGAGGCTGTAGGAGAAATAACCGTGTCATTGTACCAGTTGCTGGTTTTGTGACCTTGGACAGGTGGCTTTGCCTCTCCCGGCCTCAGCTTCCTCTTCTGAAATGTGAAGGTGATCATTTGCTTACCTCAGGGAGGATGGTGAATGTTCATGCTGTTAACACAGCCTTTGCTCTGCTGGTGCTGGATCTGCTGGGCTCCCCAGGGCTTGGAGAGGCTGAGTGTTCCCCGCGGTAGACTAGTGAGACAGGTGCCGCGGCTGAGCCGAGGCCCTCAGCAACTGCAATGTTGTTGTTGCTGTTGACAGTGGTATTTAAGGATTAAGCTAAAGGAATAGTGCTGGTCTAACAGAGACTGGTGGAACCCACAAGACTGTGGCCCCTAGTCACCCTTCGGGCCTGGGATTGAATTCACTCCCATGGCTTCTAGCCTTGTAGAGGTGAATATTTACACCTTGTAGGTACACTCCTGAGATCAGTCAGCCTTGGGAGATCAGAAGGGTACTGTGTGTACAGGGGCACAGCTCAGAGGGTAGGAATGCAGAGGAAAGAAGGACACAGGGAGAAGATAACACAGGCAGGAAGTGGCGAGATTTGTTACATTATGGGGATTGCAATCAGTGTCATGAAACAAAATATACAGAAACTGTTGAATGGAAAATGAACTTGTTCTGTTAATTTTCACCCAAATCACAATTTCAAAAAATTAAAAAGAAGCTAAAGGAGTAAGAGAATTCTGACTCACAGCAACTCCCATTGAGTTTCTCGGGCAGTATATCTCTGCGGAAGTAGATTGCCCCATGTTCCTTCTGCGGAGCGGCTGGTGGGTTTGAACTGCCGACCTTCTGGTTAGCAGTCAAATACCTTAGGCACTGCACTACCAGAGCTCCTTTTTGTTTGGTTTGAGTTTTTCTTAAGCGAATGTCTGCTCCTGAAGCTCAGCTTCCTCCTCCCCAAAATGAACGTACTGTTGTTGCCCCTCTCCCTGGGTGGTTATAAGGATTCAGCGCCCAGCAGGGGTGCCTAACGCAGAGTTAGCCCTCAGGGAAACGTCATCTGCTGCTGCTGTAGCTTCTCAGGACCCCAGGGAGCATTGTGCTCCTGGCTGTCTCCCCAGCCGGCAGGCAGGGATACCCCCGGCTTGAGTAGCCACCTGGATGTCAGCTGGTTCCAGGCCTAGCTCTGCCATTGGCTGGCCAGGGCCTCAATGTCCCCATCTATCACAGCTTCTCCCCTACGACATAAACCCCACAAGGACAGGGGCTTCTCTGTCTGCTTATCTCTGTTTCCCTGGCACCTACAACAGTTAAATAAAGCTGGAGACCATGAATGCCCAGAAGGACCAAGGAATGGGCTCCCAGGGCTGGTGAGTTACCCTGGTGTTACATGCTGCGGGTTCTTGCATTAGGAGAGGCCTCCTGCCTTCTTCCAGGCTTCTGTGCTAAAGTGGCATGGGGCGTTCCCAGGCTGTGCCCACAGAGCTCACCAGCCTTGGGCCACAGATGATTGATTACAGTTATGTTATGTGTGAGGAAGGAGCAGGTCAAAATGATATGGGCACATATGGGAAACTTGACTTCGTGTGAGCCCAGGAAGACTCCTTGAGAGTGTGACATTTGACCTGGGAGGGATGAGTTGGAGTAAAATAGCAAAGAGAGGAAGCAGGAGAAGCATTCCAGGCAAAGGGGATGGCACATGCAAAGGCTTTGGAGTCCAAAGGCTGTTGTCCAGGGCCTTGATGTGGGAGGTGAGCTTAGGGAAGCAGGCAGAGGCCCTCTGTGCAGGGCTTTTAGGGCTAAGGGTTAAAGATGGGTATTTGGCTGCTAACCAGAAGGTCAGTGGTTCAAACCCACCAGCTGCTCCACAGGAGGAAGATGAGGCAATCTACTTTCATACAGATTTACATACAGCATTGGAAACTCCATGGGGGTCGCTATGGGTCGGAATCGACTTGATGGCAGTGGGTTGGGTTGGGTTTTGGGTCTGTTCCCTATGAAGAATAGAAGCCCTTCAGAAGCAGATTGAATGATGTTAAGAAAACAGACTCTGAGCACAGTGGCCTGGGTTCCATTTCAGGTACAGCCACTCATAGCGGTATGAACTTGGGCAGGTCACGCCATCTCTGTGCCTCAGTTTCCCCCGTGAAACTTGGGGCTGTGCCTCTCCTTGGTCCTGATGCTCCCTCTCTTCTGAGTTCACCACGGTCCTGACTTGCATGGTGACCATTCCCTTGCTCTTCTTCATAGTTTTGCCTCTATGTTTTGTTGCATCGATGAGCAGTATATTTGCTTTGCCTGCTTTTGCACGTAATGAGAACAGAATCAGCCCGTGTGCTTCTGTGTCTGGCGTTTCTCCCTCAGCATTGTGTTTGTGGGATTCACCTACATCGTAGCTATCACTCATTCCTCTTTGTGGCTGTGTATTTTTCCACAGTAGAAATATATCACAGTTTATTATTTATCCATTGTTTTGGTTGGCATTTGAAGATTCATGTACCCATATCCCAGGGCACCTGTACACAATTTCACTAGACTGCGATCCTAGGAGAGGGAGTGCTAGGTCATTGATTGAGCCTGTCATGAGGTTTAATAAACCAAAACCCACTGCCATCGAGGTGATTCCAACAAACAGCGCCCCCTACTAGACAGAGTAGAACTTCCCCATAGGGTTTCCAAGGCTATAAATCTTTACGTAAGCAAAGCCCAAACCAAACCCATTACCATCAGGTCAGTTAACAACTCACAGCACCCCTAGCGGACAGAGTAGAACTGCCCCATAGAATCTCCAAGACTATAAATCTTTACAAAAGCTTGGCTGCCTCATCTCTCTCCCACAGAGCTGGTGAGTTTGAACCATCAACCTTTTGGTTAGCAGCTGAATGTTTTAACCATTATACCACACCAGGGCTCCTTCATCAATTTAGTACCAAACCAAAAACCAAACTCACTGCCATCAAGTTGATTCCTCCTCATTTCACCCCCACTGGGTTTCCAAGGCTATAAATCTTTACAAAAGCAAGACTGCCTCATCTTTCTTCCATGGAGCAGCTGGTGGGTTTGAACCATTGACCTTTTGGTTAAGCAGCCAAATGCCTTAACCACTACACCACCAGAGCTCCTTTCTCAGGTTTAATAAGATACTGCTAAAGTCTTCCTGAGTAGTTACTCCAGTTCACACATCACACCAGCCATATTAAAGAGTTTCAGTTGCTCCACATCCTCACCAGCCCTTGATGCTGTCAGACTCTCTAACTTTTATCAGTCTGGTGGGTATGTAATGTAAGGCTTCCTTTTTATCTAAGTTAATTTTTAAAAGTGGTCTTAAGTAAAAACCTCAAGTTAAAAATTAGCACAGATGGTATGTGGGATATGGCAGAAACCCAAAGGTTTGGAAATGTGGCGCTAACTGGTGTTTCTGTTTCAGCTGACTCCACAGGAACCCACTCCCTCTACACGACGTACCAGGACTATGAGATCATGTTCCACGTCTCCACCCTGCTTCCATACACCCCCAACAACAGGCAGCAGGTCAGTAGGGCCCAGACTGGGGAGCCGGAATGATCTCCAGTTGATGCCCAGTTGAGCCCAAAGCCCTCTCCCTCCTGTGATTTTTGGGTGGTACCTCCCAGCCTTGGCTCTCCCAGTACGTCCTGTGGACCAGATGGAGGCCCTTGGCCTTGGGGGGCCCTTTGGCACAGAGTCATTTCACCTGGGGTTTAGAGACTAGGCCAGGTGAGGTTTGATGTCTGTTTGGTGCCAGTTTTTCTTGCCATTCCTTGGCCACCCCACTTGCTTCTAGCCTCCTCAGGGATCCAGTGAGAAAGGGGAATGGATCAGTCAACATTATTTTGGCTGCAAATGAAAGAAACTCAAAGTAGCAAAGCAAAAAATGAGATTTATTGGGTTCTATGAGTCTGTGCCTAAGATGTTTGACTGCTAACCAGAAGAAGGTTGGCAGTTCAAATCCACCAGCCATTCCACAGGAGGAAGACTGGGTGATCTACTTCGGTTAAGATTTACCACCTCAGAAACCCAGCGGGGGTCTTTATGAGTCGGAATCGACTCGATGGCAGTGGGTTTTTTATGAGTCTGAAGTGCTGGCAGAGGGTTGGCTTTAGGTGTGGCTGCTTCCAGGGCCTCAGGTCTTCTTCCTTGTGGTGGCTTCATTCAGAGGTCTACCCAAGTAGGGGCAGAGATACCCCTGAGCAGCCTAGACTCACATCCCAGCAGCTTCGCCAGCCCAGGAGGAAGACAACTGTGCCTTCCCAATTCCAGAAGCCATCCCAGGGCTGAATCCTATTGGATCCTTTATATGCCAGTTTCCAAGCCAGTCCGGGGGCCCGGATGGGCACATGGTCACCCCTGTGCAATGACTGACCTTAAACCCTAGGCAGAGATCAAAGAGGTGGTGTCCCAAAGGAGAACCGGAGTACGGCCACCAGGAAAGAGGGAGTGAGTCCTGGACAGAGCAGCACACACCCACTGCCGAGAGGCTGCGAGGCCCCCAGTTCCTCTCCCAGGACCCCACGCAGGCTGGGCCCAGGGCCCTTCTTCATTTCTACCAGCAACCTCACAGTTTGTTGGCCATTCAAGAAGTGTATGCTTTCTCCGTCTGGTACAGGTTGTAGATTTTGTAGGTAAAAACAGTCAAATATCAGCAATTTCCTAAGGTTAACCTAATAGCATGCTGTTAAGAGCATGAGTCTAAGTTGGACCTGAGTTTGAGTTCTTTGCTGCTTCGTAGCTGTGTGATCTCCCGGAAGTGATTTCACCTCTCTGAGCCTCGGATCCCTCCTCTATCAAACGGACAGAAAGTATCACCCATGTCTTAGGGTCATTGAGAAGGGTCTGTGCTCTCCGGTATGAAACCAGAGCATAAAGTAGGTGCCCAGAGAGTAGCACCTCTTCCTGGGTATTTGGAAGGGTGGTGGAGAAAAGCATGGGTTTTGGAGTCAAGCAGAGTGGATTAAAATCCTGGTTCTTTCCCTCCGTGACTGTGTAACCTGGGGTAAGGCACTTAATCTCGCTGAGCCTAAATTTTCTCATTTGTTAAAGGGAGAAAGATGAGTTACTGCCTCCTTGGGTTGTTGTGAAGTTAAAATGAGATCATGAGTGTAAGATGTGGATGTAAAATGCCTGGTACAGAGTCTGCCTCAGTAAATGGGTACTTAATCTAGAATTTTCATTTAATTCGGTGTAAAATTCAGTTAAAGAGCTAGCAACTGGTAGTCTGAGTTTTGCTGATGAATGTTGCAAAAAGGGCAGGGAGGAGGCCACATGTTCTGACCTCCTCTAATCCCACAGGAGGAAGACAGGATTACCAGCAGTAACCCAAGGCCTATTCCTACAAGGCCAGACATGCTGCCTCTCTCCAGCCCTTTCTCCAACCATTCCTCCCAAAGCACCACCACCTCTCTCCTGGGTTCGATAATTTGCTGCAGTGGCCATACAGAACTCACAGATTATGGAGTTTATTAGGGAAGCACCACAGGCTACAATTCAAGCTCAGGAAAAAACACTCAGTCTCTCTCCCAGCCCACCGTCCCTCAGCCAACAGTCTCTCACAGTCTCTTTCCCAGCAGTGCTGGTCCCTCAGTGTCTCACTCAGCAATGCGTGTCTCTTGTGTCTCTTTCCCAGCAGTATGTGTCTCTTTCAGGGGCACGTGTCTCTTTCAGCAGCATGTCTTCCTCAACCAGCAGTCAGAGAGAGAGCTCTGCCTCTAGGAGGCCTCCTTTTGAGCCTGGCAGAGTAGCCAAACTAGCCAATTATAGCATCAGAACTCTAAACACCTGCGAGAGAGTGGGCGCCTCCCAGAACATTGTTTTGTGCCACGCCCAACAGAAATACTCAGGTGGACACCTTCAGCAATCAGGAGCTCCTCAGATGCTCATAGCAAATCCCACCTTGGAGTTTACAAAGACTTATGGGTAGAAAAGCCACACAAAGTAATTTACTACACTGCAAATGTGTTCAGATTTTACACACAGCCACCTCATCTCATGCTCCTTGTGTGGATTCTAAAATGGTTCTGTGAAGACTACACTTGTGTAATTTCAGAAAATCAGCAAAAACACCATGATTCTATCACCTGTGGAAATACCTGTGCTCCTCAGAGCCTGACAAGGAGAGCAGAAGGATGATGGGCAGGGGGAGGGAGGCAGCTGCCCCAGCAGCTCAAGGCGCCCAGGGCAGGAATGGGTCCTGCTGGCGGTCTCTCATCTGACTGCTGTTATTCACGTTCTTGGCTTTGAGCAAGTTGAAGGCCACAAGCCCATGCTGTCCTTCAGTAAATATTTATAGGGCACTTCCTGTGTACCAGTCACCGTATCACTGAAGATAGGAGTGTGTGGTGACCAGAAAGACAAAACTGCTGTTCTCATGGAGCAGACTTTCATGAGGAGAGACAGACAAGAAACAAACGGTAGAGGAAAGCCGTTATGTGCTTGTATGTGTTGGTATGTGCTCAGTTTGTGAGAAAAGAGGGCAGTGGCCACTGGGTGGACAGCCAGCATCAGCCACCAATGGAAGTAACCATTAACATGGGAGAATATTTTTAACAACACTTTCTCAGTGAGCAGAGCTACCCTTTTTGGCTCTTCAGTGAATGTACAGTGTCCTCTCCCGTGTCCTTCACTCCTCTCCAGCCAGCCCTTGACCCCTTCCTCTAACTCTGTCTCTGTTGTCCCTTCACCCAGCTACTGCGGAAGAGGCACATAGGGAATGACATTGTGACGATCATCTTCCAGGAGCCTGGAGCGCTGCCCTTCACCCCAAAAAACATTCGCTCACACTTCCAGCACGTCTTCATCATCGTCCGCGTACACAACCCCTGCACTGATAACGTCTGCTACAGGTAAGAGCTGCACAGGTTATCCCAGTGGGATGAGCAGGGACCGCCTCCGACCCCACCCCACGCACGCACGCTGGAGAGCTCCACAGAGCAGGAGGGGGCAGCAGGCCAGGCAGGCAGCTTCCCGTTTCTGGTTTGCGGTCAGTAGGGGATCTCTGTCTCCATGTGCCCACCTGCCTAAGAGAGGGCTCCTCAGCCAGAAAGGGGCATGCCTCCCAAATTTTGCCATGGGAATGATCAGGGATTTGTGTTTGCCTGGAATCTTTGGCTTGCAAGTGACAGAAAGCCCACCTCCAGCTGGCTTATGACAAACAGGCAATTGTATCTATTGGCTCACTAAAGTGACAAGTCCTGGCCCAGGGGGATCTGCTCAGCTTTCCTGTATGCGGCTTCAGTTTCTGGAGCTCTGAGCTTAACGTGCTGCCAGCTGCGAGCCCCGGGGAGACAGCGTTCCTTTGCTGAGAGCTGCACCAGAAGCCCCAGAATTGAGGCTCATTGACCTGAAAGGAGGCAGACACATGGCCTAGGAGCCATAGGGTAATGTCCCAAGGAGGCCAGAAGACAGAGGGTGGAGGCAGGACAGGCAGAACCCACGGGTGGGCCCCTTCAACAAGTAGCATTGAGGGGTTTAGTTCCCAAACTGACCCGTCTGTATCCTTCCCAAGCAGCTGTTCTCACCAGAGGAGTGGGTGGCCCCCAAAGGACAAATGGAAAGCTCTCTGGGTGTGGGGTGGGAGGATCAAGCTGTGGTCCTTGGAAACCATCCTGTCAATAACACAGGCCCCGGCCAAAGCCAGCACTTGCCCCAGAGCAGCACGTCAGACTCTGAGGCATGGGCTTGGTGTGTGATTTTCTGTGTCTCTGAAAATGGCTTAAAATGTAAAAGGGTATGCAGACAAAAATCTCCCTCCCACCCATGACCCCAGCCATCCAGTTGCCCTCACAGAGGCCACCACTGTTAGGAGTCTTCTACATATGCCAGTGTTTCTTTGTTTTTGTTGTTTTTATTGTGATTTAGGTGAAAGTTTACAGAGCAAATTCACTTTCCATACACCATTTCACATACACTTTGTCTCATGACATTGACTACAATTTACCCCAATGCAACAGCTCCCCTCTCACTTCCTCCCTATAGTTACCTCTTCCCTGTGTCCATCTCTCCATGCACTCCTGCCCCCTGAGCTGTGTCCCTATACATAAACAGCCCTTCTTTCTCCCATGATTGTTCTCTCCAAGGATTATATCTACCTTGGGTAAATGTTCAACTCATATGCCTGTCTTTTGCTTGGCTGGAAGCCACATATTGGTTCAATTCTAGACCTGAAGGGCAGCTAGGGGCCATAGTCTCAGTGGCTCTATCAGACCAGCAAACCTGGTCCCCTTCCCTCCCAACCCCCACCCCAAATGATTTTGAGTTTTGTTCCACATTGTTCTCCCTCTCTATCCAGGATCTCCTAC